TATTTCTCTTAAACTTAGATTTTCTATAATAGTTCAATTTTGTTTTCAGTGTCCTTTAGTACAACGAAGATTCCTGATGAGTGTTGTACGAAAACTTGTTTGAATCCCTTTCTTTCTCTACACAATTTCTTCACATTTTCATCGTTTTATTGCACATTGTCTCCACAGTTTTACAATACATGAATACAGTGTACACAAATGTCGATCCAGCTTGTATTACTGATTGCGGTTATCAAATAATAATAATATTATTTAGAAAAAATAAATAGCCAATAGATCAAACTTCCAGCACACATTCCATGTGATTTCTTTACGTGAACGTAGAGCAGAACAGATTTTCTTTACGTTACAGTAACGCGGAGCAGAGTGTTTCCCGGGATTCTTCGCGTCGCGTTCCTGTGACTTTGAACGTGGAGCAGAACATCACTATTGGGTCGGATGTTCACCTACAACTTGTACATGTAGTCCAACTGTATCCGTCCAGTAACACGGGCACAAGCCGGAACATAACGACAAGCCTCTGGATCATTCAAACAAAGATATTTTTAAAGGGGAAGTTAGGGCAAAAATTAAAATTTCACCAGTTGTAGTCTTCGGGGTGCTGAGTCGAATGGTCTTGGTCCGAGAAAGCTGAGACGCTCCCTTCCTACTTGAATCCCAATCGAACTCGCGCACTTCCACCGAAACTGGGTGACTGCGCCCTACTAGATGGGGATTTGTATGCAAAATGTCACTAAAAGCGCCATTTCGTTCTTATAAAAGCACGGATGACCGCGATTGGCCCATATGTTGTAGTCTTTTGGACGCTGAGTCGATTGGTTTTGGTCCGAAAAGGCTGCGATGCAGCGTTCCTCCTTTATTCCCAATCGAACATGGTTGAACAAGCGGTCACGTGCTCCTGCGTACACCAGTCACCTGGTCACCGTGCCTGCAGGGTACAACTTACTAGCCTGTTTGACCTTTTTTGGGTGCAGTCCTGTCACTCGAGTTGAACTCGAGTTGAACCTTGGTGTGAAAGTTGTCGCCTGCTGGCGTGGTGACCAGGTGATTTGGGCACCCAGGAGCATGTGACCGCTTGTTCAACCATGTTCGATTGGGAATAAAGGAGGAACGCTGCTTCGCAGCCTTTTCGGACCAAAACCAGTCGACTCAGCGTCCAAAAGACTACAGCATATGGGCCAATCGCGGTCATCCGTGCTTTTATAAGAACAAAATGGCGCTTTTAGTGACATTCTGCATACAAATCCCCATCTAGTAGGGCGCAGTCACCCAGTTTCGGTGGAAGTGCGCGAGTTCGATTGGGATTCAAGTAGGAAGGGAGCGTCTCAGCTTTCTCGGACCAAGACCATTCGACTCAGCACCCTGAAGACTACAACTGGTGAAATTTTAATTTTTGCCTTAACTTCCCCTTTAAAATATTATTATTAGGCCAAGTAAAAAAAAAAGCTAGATGATCGTCCCCGTCCGCCCCAGTTTTTGTCAGCGCCCCAAGAAATATTTTATTTTTTAAATCGTGAGTTTTTGCCGAAATCGTTGGTTTTTTACCGATCGCGGATGCAGGAAACATGTGCACGCTTTGTTTAATACTTTCTTTACTATATGGACCACATACTACTAGTATATCACAACGTCAGTATCGATCTGCTGAAGAAAGAAAAAGAAAAAAAGAAAAAAAAAGAAAAAAAGAGAAAAAAAACCTTGATGTTGTTGTGTACACTGTGTGCATGAGAGGGTAAAAAGTAAAAAAATAAAAATAAAATCCTCCCGCCCTCCCCGATTTTTCCAAAAAAAAGGACGATCATCTAGTAATTTTTTTTACTTGGCCTTAGGCCAAGTAAAAAAAAAAGATTGTTTATCGTCCGCGCCCGCCTCAAATTTTCACCCTCCCCGCCGAATTATTTAATTTTTTAGTACTGGTAAATGTACTGTATGTACTGCGGTCTACAGCCTCTAATCAGCATGGCCGTAGATTTTCGAAGGTCAAGTCCACAGACTGAACCATAACTTAGTTGCCATGGGCTTGAAAAGTGAAACTGATCATAAGCTGCCTGATTTTCTTCGTTTTCTCTACGTAACGTTGGTTGTTCCACTTTCCATTATCCTCTGGGTTGCGAACACCTGCCCTACAGCCATAAATGCATAATAATAAAAAAATTCACGGTTCGCGTGAGACTCGGCTGGAAGCCGGGTTTTCCGCATCCGTAGGAACGCCACCACCCTTCAAGGATCAAGGCGCAGATGCAGCTCCTAAAGCGGTGGGAGGTGAGTAGATCAGCTCACCAGCAAGTGGTCAAAGACCGAAAATCCCATTCACTGCATCCATGTTTTCCTCGTGCCAGGCCACGAGTTCCCAATTAACTGTGGGTCGCAGCACGGCTGGAAAAAATCCTTCCCTCTGTTTCTCAATCATGGTCTTAGACCATCCCACTATGCCTGCCTGCATAATAATGCATAATAAAAAATTAAAATTAAAAACCTCCCGTCCGCCCCGATTTCTCGGGAAAATCTGACGATAAACAATCAATATTTAATATTTTACATGGCCTTATATAATATAAAAAGAAAAAAAAGAAAAAAAGTGAGCGTGCTCCCAGCAGGGCTCGAACCTGCGACATTCGCGTTATTAGCACGACGCTCTAACCGACTGAGCTATGGGAGCTCATGACATGACACAGAGTATGCAACCTTACGACTTCTGGGTGTAGAGCTTACTAGAGGGCCGCCTACTGGTTCCCGGGTATTTCTGCCCAGACCAGACAGAATGGCAAGGTGGGATTATCCCCCACATGTTGCCTAGAAACAGGTATCACCAAGAGTCCATAACCCCCCAGAGTGCGCAACTGGGATGGGGTTGTTGGACAGCGTAATCCGTGATGTACGTCATTTTTTGGGTCGGACTTGCGTCATTCCGTCGACGCAGTCCGCCACGGTCCACACTTCCTCTACTCATGATGTCACACTATGACGCGCAACACGGATTTCGCCGTCCCAGATCTGATCAGTGAAGTTGCGCACTCTGCAGAGGGATTGTGGACTCTTGGTATCAGGCACGCATGATGTAGAATTTCAGATCGCCACACGAGAATGGTCAAACATGATAGAGCCACAGTAAACATGTGTACTAGTTTAGCGAGTACTACTATTGGAAACCAATTGTCTTGTGAGACTCAACACCTCAGAATCCAGGCTACTGTACTGTGGGTATGGACAGTATTTTTTTCTCCAAATGCGCACGCACGCACGTGCAGGCTTTCCGCCTTCTAGGTTAAAAAAAATCAGAGCTGTGTCAAAGACCACCACCTGTCTTTGGAGACAGGTGTTTCACTTGCAAATATGACTCAACAAGCAAGGCAATTAAAAAACCAGTGTAGAAGGACCAGCTGCCTCCTAGCAGTTTTACCATTGCATTGTAACTTTCAAGTCATGTGTTAGAGAGGTTTCGCAGTACGATTTTTAGTGCCAAAATCCGTAGAGGCGCTACGGATTTTTTTATAGTGTTGAAACGAGCGTATCTATAACAAACGAGCGTATCTATAACAAACGAGCGTATCTATAACAAACGAGCGATCAGTCCCACTAATGAGCAAGCTATCGAGCAAGCTAACGAGTTTCATTGATGTGACAAAATTGATAATGATTTTTTTGAATATTTTTTCTATTACAGTTCGATTTTTTCATCTGGTTCAAATTATCACCGCCGACTTTTGGGGTTCCTGCTGCTTCACTTCGGACTGCTGTTTGGTGTCGAGATATTTTTCAGCGCCATCGTTGAGCAGCCTTTGTAAGAATAGACTGTTTTGCAAAAGATTGCAAGTAGCCCTGTTCTTCGCTGCATCGCGGGAGAAAACTTCCAAACGACTGAGCGTAACTTTCACTCGAATGCAGAGTTGACCGAAGCATGTCCTGCGACAGGTTAGCAGATGCGGAACAAGACATCAGTAGAGTCCACCAAAGCTGCAACGACAACTGAAACAACTCAGTGTCGTGCAGGCATACAGTCTCTGTAACTGCGAGTGATTTTCACTTTGCCCGGGACTGGACTCTCGATCGACCATGGACTTGTAAACAATCATATTTTACGACTCCTCGATCGACATGTACTGAAATGTGTACGGAGTACGTGGCAGCCTCCAACGGATGGCTGTGCCTCCCTGGCTGTCGTGGAGGCTAGGGTGTCCCGTTGAGCCTTGGCCCGTGATTGTGCGGACTATGTTATGCTTCTCTTGCTCTCTGATCACATGTGACGTCATCATTATGTGATTTGTTTCCAATCCTCCGCCATCAGGCAAATTGTGTTTTGTTCGTGTGGAAAAGAGCTTTAATTATTTAAAAAAAAAAACGGAGTACGGGGTACGGTGTTCGTTAGTGCAAACGAGCCGAGTTTCTGGCGAGCGAGCCAACGAGTACCCGGTGAGATCGTTTCAACACTAATTTTTTATACGTCGTTTTCGAGCAGTGAAATGTTCCAGAGTACGGGAATTATGCGTTTGACATCATTGCCTAGGTTACGATTGCAATCACGTCATATTCCCCGCGCTATGGCTTTTTATTTTGAAAATTTGTACTGAAATCAAAACTCTCCGCGGCAAATCGATGTTTCTCGTACCAAATTTGTACGCGAAAAATCTTTCTGCACTTGATGACGCAAAATCTCCATACGAAACATGGTTCGTATGAAAGCCAGTCCACACGGATTCTCCGCGGTGAAAAATCGTACGACGCACGCCTCGAAAAAATCCGTAGCGCCCCTACCGATTTTGGCACGGAAAATCGTACCCTGGAACCTCTCTATTATGGTGATTTTCATGATGAAAAAATGACGGAAATATGCAAAAAATGGGTCTGTCCGGGATTTGAACCCGGGACCTCTCGCACCCTAAGCGAGAATCATACCCCTAGACCAACAGACCAAGCACATGGTTTCCCACGCTTAACACAAGTATGTGTACACCGCCTCTCACACGTTCACATGCAAGCACACACACACACACGTCACATACCTTTCTATGCCAGAGGATGAACTCATCTTTGAGAATGGTGTAGAGGTAGTTGGGCAGTGCAAAGCTAGGATCGGCCAAGCAGCGTGCCGTGGCCACCATAGCAGCGGAGAGAGGGCCTTCGAGATTCAGCGGTGCCAGTAATGACAGGATGTTGGGTGTCAAGCGGAACGGCGCTACACGATCTTCATTTAGCAACGAACCTACAAGGCAAAATACAATGTAGATCAACGTGTTGTGTGTAAGAGAGCGGCTGCGAAGTGCAGTCAGATGTACAACAATGTGAAAGGTCAGACTTGCCGCACTGGATGGTGCACAGTTCCACCCACAGGAATACAGTACAGCTGTACCTGTACTGGCGTGTACTGGCACAACTTAGAGAGAAATTCACTAGTTCAGGGAACGGAAAAGAGTGAAGAATGGAAACTAGAGAGTGGAGAGAATGCCGGTCGGTGCAGCAGTGTACATACCCGTCTGTTTGTCCACGTCAAAGCGGTAGAAACGCGCCGACAAGCAGCCTGTGTTCCGTGTCAGGTACAGCTTGCGTGGCGTCATCTCCGTCAAGTGCAGCACATACTCCGCCACAAAGTAGATCGCCAGGTGACGGGCAACCTGCCAGGAAACAAACAAAAGCAAAACAGTAATACGCACAAGAAAGACAGGAAAGACAGGGGAGGGTGTCAATGGAGTAGTTCATAGCAGTATAATTTGTACACATAAGCACCTGCTGGACTACTGGTCAAAGTGCCCTACACACGACGTGCAGAGCTGCAGTACAAACGAAAGTCCAGTGGAACAAAAAAGAAACCTCACCTCATGCTTAGAAACAATCATCAGGAGACGAAAGCTTATTTTGGCAAGATAGAGTGATCTTGTTAGGAAATTAGAGGCCATATGCAGTACATGCAGTACGAGGCAGTGGCCTCTAATTTCCTAATACTTTGAAATTCTTCGTAAAGTCCAAATTTGAAATTAGAGTTATCTTATCCACTAAAAGGGTCAGTATACATGTAATTTGTATGGATCTGATTGCACTCAAGATGACGTGTTGACAGCGAGAGATATTCGTAACTTACGCTGTATCCAGTTTGGCCAGCTCTAACTACAGTACACACACACACACACACACACACACGCACACACACACACACGCACACACACACACACACATACACTCACCTGCGCTCTGAAATGCCAGAAGTCCACAGCCGACTGGAAAATGTTAATGGACCATTTTCTCAAAACGGTGGAAGGTATGACATCTCTTATGATCTACAAAACAACAAACACACACACACACACACACACACACACACACAGGCGGCAAAAAACACCCAAAGTACAGCGGTGCACACGTTGTGACTCAGGAAATTATTTAACGATCAGCTTTCCATGTCGTAGCAGAATACATGCAGATCACGTATGCAGAGCGCAAACTTTCGATTGACGATACTAAACTTTAGCGAAAGCACCTCTTTCGCTAAATTCGCTAGAATTTCACCACCGTCAAAAATAGCCGTTTTACAGTACGTGGTTGTGCGGAGAATGTGTAATTCCATACCGATATGAATCATGGAAGTATTGAATGAGTGGGTGATACATTGAAAACAGTAAAGATGGCCATAGCAACCATACCTCATTGAATATGGAGGCCAGAGTATGCGTGGGTACACCGTTGCTATGTGAAGTGGCGTGTTTGATCTGCTCCAGGGCAAGCCGGTCGTAGTACATCTCCACAGCCTTGTCCGGAGAGCTGATCTGCTCCTGTTGACAGGCCTGTGACCAGGGAACATACGTGTATAACGTTACACAGACATACAGACAGACAGACATACAGACATACATACATACATACATACAGACACGCACACACGCATAGTCCAGTGTTTTAAGATTGCAGGTTTAAAAGCCGTACAATCAGGGTCTGCATGCCGTTGGCCCGTGCCAATCTGCAGATACCAGGTGTTTGGTCACCGATGTTGTCACATAAGCAAATTGCATTTTTTTTACATAAATACACATACACATATCTATCTGCACACACACACACAGACACACACACACACAGACACACACACAGACACACACACACGAACAGACACACGCACAGACACTTACATGCGCACAGACACGCACACGAGCACAGACACGCACACGTGCACAGACATGTACATGAGCAGACATGGACACGCTCACAGACACGCATACGTGCACAGACACGCACACGTGCACAGACACACACACGTGCACAGACACGCACACGTGCACAGACATGCACACGTGCACACACACACACACGCACACGCACACACACAGTCATACAGTAAATTTTCGACTGCAGCACATCACACTTCCCCGACACGGTACACGCATGTGTGTCCATATGGTGCACACACACACACATACACATACACACACACTCACACACCACATACACACACATAACTTACACACACATACACATGCACACTCATGCATGGTATGGCACACACACGCACACACACGCACACACACGCGCGCACACGCACACACGCGCACACACGCACACACGCAACAGGCATGCAGACAAGGCAATAAAGTAAACATACCTCCTCCAATATCGATAGGAAGCTAATGTCGGATGGGTCATCCTCCATGAGCCGCACGTTGGGTGCCACGTTAGTGATTTTAGATATGTTGTACTGCAAAAGACGAATGGCTGGTTCCTATACAGACAAGAAGTAAAAGAAGCAAACACCGCTGAGTACCTCGTTTATCCGAACGGTCCGGGATCGAGTACTGCCCGGAACTTTGAAATGCCCGAAACTCCGAATCACATACATTTTGATGGGGAAAGGCCATAGATACGGCACGTGACGTCATTATTTCAACAGAAAGTGATCAAAGAGTAGTAATATTTCTACTGAGTATCGCCCAAAGGGTGGAGCTGAATATGCGCCTTGATCCTTGAAGGGTGGTGGCGTTCCTACGGATGCGGAAAACCTGGCCTCTAGCCGAGTCTCTCGCGAATCGTGAAATTTTTGGTAAAAAGTAAACAAGCAAAAAAAGATGCATTGGCCGGGAATCGAACCCGGGCCCCCCGCGTGGCAGGCGAGGATTCTACCACTGAACCACCAATGCTTGGATGATACTCAGTGCAGATGACAAGTACCCTGATGGTAAGGATCACCGCTACATACATACGCGCACACAGTGAAAACGAGAGAGCCTGCACTCGCTTTGCTGGTCATATTCACGGACATGAACATCGCTGCTGGCAAGAGTACATAACCCCCCAGAGTGTGCAACGCCTGATCCAGCTCTGCATAGGGTCTTGGTCGAGCGGAATCGGATCTTTGCGTCATAATACCGTACACATCTGAGGGGAACCCGGGGAGTCGCGGGTACTCTTGGATCAAAAACAATGGTGCCCTGCCTCGAGACCGGCCTTGCGCTGGTGTGAAGTGTACGCATGACATCAGAAGATCCGATTCCGCTCGACCAAGACCCTACACAGAGCTGGATCGGCGTTGCAGTAACTTGCACACTCTGGGGGGTTATGTACTCTTGCTGCTGGATTATACAGTGCTACAGACCATATACATATACAGGGTATGGACCATATACAGGGTATGGACCATATACAGGGTATGGGCCATATAGGGTATGGACCATATACAGGGTATGGACCATATACAGGGTATGGGCCATATAGGGTATGGACCATTATACAGGGTACAGACAATTCAGGGAGCTTAGATTCACCTGTGACTGGCTCCTCATGACAATGCCTAGTGGAGCAGCCACTGACTCACAATCAAATGGTCAAGTAGTATGCATACAAGAGACGAGCCAACCAGCCAACCAGCCAACCAACCAGCCAACCAGCCAGCCAACCAGCCAACCAGCCAACCAGCCAGCCAACCAGCCAGCCAGCCAGCCAACCCACCAGCCAGCCAGCCAGCCAGCCAGCCAGCCAGCCAGCCAGCCAGCCAGCCAGCCAGCCAGCCAGCCAGCCAGCCAGCCAGCCAGCCAGCCAGCCAGCCAGCCAGCCAGCCAGCCAGCCAGCCAACCAACCCAGTCAAACAAACATACCCATGAAAGGCTGCTGGACCCTGGCTACACCAGATGCACTACACCACTATGTCACGTCATACAGTATGACTTTTGGCAAACCTTGGGGATAAAACGTCCCTGCAAGACGTGGTGTGCTTGTTGAACGGTGTACCCCCCCCCCCCCTCCCACACACACGCACGCACACACGCACGTACACCTCTCCATGGCTCGACCATAATCACAAGCTCCAATAGAGTTCTAGTACGTGAAGGACTAAAATGGGACCTTACCTTTCTCTTCTGCAGCATGGTGTTGGCAATCTTGAAGAGCTGTAATACTCTCTCCTCTCTCCAGCAATCATGCGTCTCCACGTCACCCAATAGCAAATACGGATAGATCTACACAACAACCACAATGGCAGCAGCACCCCCACCAATAACTAAAAATTATAACACCCATCATCTCTCTCTCTCTCTTTCTCTCTCTCTCTCTCTCTCTCTCTCTCTCTCTCTCTCTCTCTCTCTCTCTCTCTCTCTCTCTCTCTCTCTCTCTCTCTCTCTCTCTCTCTCTCTCTCTCTCTCTCTCTCTCTCTCTCTCAAAGATATTTAAAATTAACAGCAACGGTAGCAGCAACAGTGAAAACTACAGTAGGCTCAACACAGGGATCCAACACATACATTGATCAGAAGTATTGCAAAAACATAATTATTGCAAACTGAGGAAGCCGCAGGTGGCTGGGAGCTTAGAAGTCCTTTAATCTGAATGCCCTGTGTATGCATTGCTGTTTTCAAAAAAACAAGACTATGGACACCACCGGGCTATTACCTTGCCGTTGGTCGCTTGGATTTGAATGCGCTTGGCAAAGCCGTCGTCCTTGACCACCGTCTCCATGTGCGGTAGGAAGCGTGCTATGTGGAAGCCATTAGTTTGCATCTGTGTCCCATCAACATGCAATGGAGTAAGAGCAGTGAAAAGCAAATACCAAACACCAGCCAGGGAAATGAGTATACGCTGTTAGATCCCCGCCTGAGTACTGTTAAACCGGAGAGTCTAACGACCAAAAAGTTAAACGCTTTTGTAATTTTGGCATGATTAGGTGCAGAAAGTGTAACGATGGCTACCTGGCCACCCATCTGCATGCGCATCGTTACACAGACATCTAGCGATAACGTTTTTTTTCAAATAACGAAAAAGAATTGGTCGTTAAAACGTTAGACTTTGTGACTCGTTAGACTTTCCGGTTTTACAGTATCCGGTTGTGCGAAACTAGTGTCGCAGAAAACATCGTTCTGAGTTAGAAACCTCTGGCCCCCGGGGCCCGCATACTAGACTTGAGAACTGTGTGAGCAGTGCAAGTTTCCTGCTGTGTCAGACACAAGGCAAAGAGTTTTTAACTAAAAAAACCCGAGAGGACCATAAGTTTACAAGTAGTAATCCGTTTTGACCAACACTAATGATTATAAGCAGGATACCGTTGATAACTTGTAAACTTAAGGTCCTCTCTTTTCTCGAAATTTTAATCCTTGGCTCTCCATCCGAGTTTTTAACTTTTCAACAAAAGAAAGTAAGCCTACCTGAAAGGGATCCGTATGTGAAAGAAGTTTGAGGGAGCTGTTGAGAGTTTGTCTGCAAAAAAAACCCACGTGGATTATCACCACCAGGATTTGAAGCATGGCCAGCAATGTGCCGTGTACACAAAGTTCTTCAAGACTAAACTCTGTCACAGAATGTAATTTCAACTTTACTAATTTTCCTGTTCTGCACTACGGGCTAGGTATGTGCATGGTCAATCGGCATTCCAGTGTAACTTACACGATGGAGAAGGTTTTCAGACGGCAACATCACCTCGGCGTTTGCCAACGTGAAGTGCAGGATAAACCGGCTGTCGATCATTTTCCGCCTGCATTCAAGTGTGTTACGACAAATAGCACATTCATAATTATACACATGCATGTGCATGCACACACGCACACACATACACACATACACACACGCACACACATACACACACACATACACACACGCACACACACACACACACACACACACACACACACACACACACACACACACACACACACACACACACACGCACACACACACACAGCAGAAGCAAGCAGCCACTTGAATCGTTCCGCTACAAGCACCTACGTATATGGAGAGAGAATATCTTGGGTGTTGCATTTCTGAATCACAAGCCCCCCCCCCCCCGCCTATAACTGCTTGATTGAGTAAGAGAGGACTGAGGTAGTGCACGGGGCACTATCCGAGTAGTGGTCGTAGTTTGTACTGTGTAGTTAGTACAGAGTACAACCCAAGCTGTGCACAGTCTAGCTCAGCAAGCCAGTCAAGTGTAGGGTACACACACTAAGGGGCCATCCGGCTTTATCGATAATTTTCACGGAACGAAAACGTTTAGTTACCACCCTCCCCCACCCACCCTCCCCCTTCAACGAAAAATAGTTTGACATGACAGGTAGAAAGGATTGATGGTTCAGCTATCAATAATTTTCAAAACGAAACTCTCCTCCACCTACCCACCTACCCGTAAACGAAACTTGTTTTCCCTTCGTGAAAAAGATCGATAATTACAGACGGCCCCTAAGCTGATTCACACATAACATTTTTAACCAGGCTTGTAATAAAAAACAGGCTTCTAGAAGAGACAGTATGGAATGTTGCAGTAAGAAACGTACTTATCTGTCAGTTTCCAGGTTCTGTCCAGTAATCGAATCCATTTCTTCAGCTTGGTGACGACGCCCGGTAGGCGAGTTTCGGCACTGAGCACCCAGCACATACAAGAGCACACACAAGAGCACACACAAGAGCACACACAAGAGCACACACAAGAGCACACACAAGGTTAAACAATGGGAACGTAACGAGTGTCAAAGCATCGTGTCACCAGCCGTAAGCCATTGGCACAACCACCTCCCACACAGGTATAGTAAAACCTGTAACTAAAGACCACCATGACTAGCGACTAGCCTGGTACTACAGTAAAACCTGTAGCTAAAGACCACTGTGACTAGCGACCAGCCTGGTACTACAGTAAAACCTGTAACTAAAGACCACCATGACTAGCGACTAGCCTGGTACTACAGTAAAACCTGTAGCTAAAGACCACTGTGACTAGCGACCAGCCTGGTACTACAGTAAAACCTGTAACTGAAGACCACCGTGACTAGCGACCAGCCTGGTACTACAGTAAAACCTGTAACTGAAGACCACCGTGACTAGCGACCAGCCTGGTACTACAGTAAAACCTGTAACTAAAGACCACCGTGACTAGCGACCAGCCTGGTACTGCAGTAAAACCTGTAACTAAAGACCACCGTGACTAGCGACCAGCCTGCTACTACAGTAAAACCTGTAACTAAAGACCACCGTGACTAGCGACCAGCCTGCTACTACAGTAAAACCTGTAACTAAAGACCACCGTGACTAGCGACCAGCCTGGTACTACAGTAAAACCTGTAACTGAAGACCACCGTGACTAGCGACCAGCCTGGTACAACAGTAAAACCTGTAACTAAAGACCACCGTGACTAGCGACCAGCCTGGTACTACAGTAAAACCTGTAACTAAAGACCACCGTGACTAGCGACCAGCCTGGTACTACAGTAAAACCTGTAACTAAAGACCACCGTGACTAGCGACCAGCCTGCTACTACAGTAAAACCTGTAACTAAAGACCACCGTGACTAGCAACCAGCCTGGAACTACAGACCACTTTGCAAGGCATGGACGGTCTCACATCCATTATGGCTGTGCGGTGCAAACCACTAACTAAGGACCACCTGCCACTAAAGACCGCTTTCTCTGGCCCCAAGGGGTGATCGTTAGTCACAAGTTTTACTGTACAATCAACAGTCCAGAACCAAGGGTAAGCAACTGTGTGCGGATCTCCTCTCTATGGGCCAGATGCGCGGCACGCTGCAGCCTTCACTACATCGTGTAGCTGCCAGATGCGCGGCACGCTGCAGCCTTCACTACATCGTGTAGCTACAATCCATGCACTGTGGAACATCATACACCACGCTTTACATGAGGTTAGAAACAAACGTTCGTACGGACCTAGAGTTTTTCCAGCAGAAACGGCTGCGTTGGCACACGAGATAGTGGGTTTGAGTGCATGAGTGAAAGTTTTATTCCGGCCGACCGAGTCTCCTTTTTGAAGAGTTGCCGACCCGAAACAAACCTATTTTTAGTTTTGGCCCAATCTGTGTGTGTGTGCGTGTGCGTGTGTGCATGCCTGTGCGTGTTTGCGTGCGTGTTTGCGTGTGTGCGTGCGTGTGTGTGTGTGTGTGTGTGTGTGTGTGTGTGTGTGTGTGTGTGTGTGTGTGTGTCCCATATGGTGCAGTGGTATGTGCAGCGATTTCCAATCGATAGATTGCGGGTTCGATTCCCGACGAGTATGGTCACACACGTCTTTCTTCTCTTTCTCACACTCTTCCTGACTTTTCTTTCATTCTCCTGGGTGGTTACCAACAGCCAGTGCATGCCGGAGTATGTGGTGTGATGTGTGTGCGGGAAAAAAAAGAAAAAAAGAAAAAATGAAAAAGACCAAAAAAAGGGATTCACTGGCCAGAAAATGTCACTCCAAATAGCTGTATGGTGTAGACCAGGCTGAATAGTGACGGTCAATTCTTCAGCCTTGCAAGCTGTTGAATGGTGTGATCCCAGCACAAGTTGCTATGGCTTCTGCCGTAGCATTGCTATCATCGCCTCCGGCGATGGGCGTCAAAGGTCAAAGGTGTGTGTGTGGATGTGTGAAGGGATGGGGGAGGTGCTGTCACTATCCAGCAGCACTAGTAGTACCATGTCCAGCAGTACAGTAGTTACCTGATGTTGAAGTCGTCAGTGAAGGTCTGCAGATAGGAGTCAAAGTCTTGGTATCTACCTAGACTAGCTGCAGCAGGGCACTTGGCAGCTGTGGGCTGACGCTGCTGCTGCTGCTGGCCTCCTCCTATATGAGTATTACTACTACTGGTGTTGGCCGCGGTCAGCCCTGATGTTGCAGAGGATGATGATGATGACGTGGATGCTGCTGCTGTTGTTGGTGGTGGTGGTGACTTGTGTTGGAAACCCAGCGTGAACTTGTCCACCAGTGTTTTGACCACGGCCAGGACACGCTGTGAGACGGTGCAGCCAGACACTAGACACCGCCGCCGGTCAGAAACACAAGATGGATGTGTGCACGCACACACGCACACGCACGCACACGCACACACACACACACACGCACACACACAGCAATAGAGCGTTGTATCATTTCGCTACTATGTGCAATTTCATTTGTACAGTATCGCTCTCATTTCACAGTTCAGTCGGTATACTTGTCTAGCAGGCTATATAAACAAAGCTCAACCAATGACTGTGTTTCGCCGGTCCACTATTGGACAACACATGATATCATGGCATGTGGCCCCATGGCACTTGAAATTCAATCCTTGATCCGTGGTGTATATAAAACAAAAGGATAGCTAGAAATGGTCTCGAAAGTTCTGAATATGGAGGCGGAGTACATGTAGATGTGGACATGCAGGTTGGGGATAGCGAACCCACACGTTCAAAGCGAATGTGCCTGCATCGTAAACTCTCCTCCTAGGAAAATCTCTAATTATATTCACACACTGGAAAAGCCATTATTCTAATGAGCCGCAAGTATAACGATTTCCTAAAATTGACCAGTTTACGTGTACTAAAGGTAACGGTTCTCACTCATTCTCAACGCTCAGCAGCAACAGTATAAGTATCGATTACTGGGTAGCGTTTTCTATTTTAACAACAGATTTCTCCTTGGAATCCAATACACCACACCACCACATTGTGCTCTTGGCCGGGTCGTTGCTACTTCTTCTCAACTTAGATTTTTCCTTGTTAACTGTCAGATTTAACACTTGGTTATATACAAGGCTTTTACAGCATTGCATCAATAAACTCTATGATTGTACACACAACTTTTACGCGCGCGCGCGCGCGCGGATGTGTGCGCGTGAGTGCACGCGTGTGCACCATGTGTACGTGCGTTCGCGCGCGTGTGTGCACAGCAGTATGTTACTGTTAGCATTACAACAAAGTACAGTGAAACCTGTCTAAGACGACCGACCGCTCAAGGGACCTGCAAAACATGGTCTCTGTTACCAGGTGGTCTCCTTATCCAGGGTCATTTGACTGGAAATAACATCCCTTGGTCCTGGTTTTAGTGGTCTTCTAGGACAGGTGGTGGTCACCTTATCCAAGTGGTCGCTGCCTTGACAAGTTTTACTGTAGCTGTAGCTTGCTAGGGTTGAGTATGACATACCATTGTGCCGGTTCTGGAAAGCCTCCCGGTTACACACCGTCAGGCAGGCCTTCATGCATGACGTCATGTCGCTGAGCCAGTCATCGGACAAGTGTAGCTGGTACATCTGTGTGCAGAAACACAGGCATGCATACCAGTGCACAGACGGACAGACAGACGGACGGACAGACAGAGAGACGGACGGACGGACGGACAGGTATACATACATACAGACAGACAGACACACAGACATGCATATATGCACGATCACACAACCACACATACATGTATGCACAGACACATATGCATTCACACATGCACACACACACTTGATAATATTTCAAATGTATTACACCATCGACTGTGCAAGGAATCGCGGCACATGAAACAGTCAAACACCATGTGTACGAGCACAGAGACAAGGACGATAATGGCAACGGTCATGTGACATCTGCTAGCTGATTGGTTGTCTCCATGGCAATAAGAGCACTGACACGGGATTGATAGAGCATGATGGCGTGACAGACCTGTTCAATGACTTGCTCCATGCAGCCGAGCAGCACAGGATTCATTTCTCGTAGGTTGACCATGATCTTGCTGCAGATCACCATGCTCTGTGTGGCCCGCCATCCAGCACCAGCTGCTACCACCTGAGCACGATCTGCGCCTGATGGTGACGAGGTTCCGGCTGCTGCTGCTGCTGACGATGATGATGCAGAACCTGCAGTTGACGGAGCACGCGTACCTGTCAAACATAAACACACACACGTGGACAAACGCACGCACACAGTTAAGTATATGTACACACACGCGTGCGCGCACACACACACACCATACACACACACACGCATGCACGCACGCACACACACACATTCACAAACAGGCTGATGCAGCCAACGCCTATCTCCAGATTTAGCACGTGTGAAAACAGTTTTCTGTCGGTGCGAGTCAGAATTCCATAGCACGCAGAGCTGAGACACGGAATGACTTACTTCGAGATGCACTGCTCGTCCTACTGCTTCTCCCTGCAGCAGGTAAAGACGGAGAAGACGATATCGGTGCTGCGGCGGTGGCGCTTGCTGATGATGTGGACGACGCGGTCGTCGGCGGATGTGTGGATGTTAGTGGCGATGGTGCGGGTACTGTGTCATCCTGTGGTGGTGCACTACCTGACGTATCCATTGCCTCCTCACCACCGTCACCAGCAGCAGTATCAGGGGTGGCCGACACTGCTGCTGGTGCTGATGCTGAAGAGGTTTCGCTGGCGGCACGCTGCCTGGGCCGCGGCGAGTCTGATGTGGAACCACCGCTCTTGGACGTAGCCTCTCCGACAGTGCAGGTCTCGCGTCGACTGCCAACTACAGCAGAGCCAGTAGTATCCATGGCCTCGCCACCGCCGACAGAGGTGCTGCTGCTAGCTTGACTGGAAGAAGAGAGATCTCTGGCATTGGTGACATCGTGTGCAGTAGTTGATGATGATGACGCTGCAGCATTGCCATCCTGGGGGTTAGTGTGAGTTGAGGTGAGAATCGAACTACCAGTAGGCCTGAGTAGCAGATGCGCATCATGCGTACACATGAACAAACACACATGTACGGGTACACACACGCAGACACACATATACAGGCACACACACACACACACACACACACACACACACACACACACACACACACACACACACACACACACACACACACACACACACACACACACAGACACACACACACACACACACACACACACACACACACACACACACACACACACACACACACACCAACAGACGCAAGCAAACACACACACACACAGACACATATGGACACATACACAGAGAGACAGAGAGACAGACAGACACACACACACACAAAACGGACACACACCACAGGCACACAGACTTGCACTTGTACTTGACCAGCGACGGCACATTTGAGTAGGCATGAATTAGCACTGCTCCGAGAGCAACTGGTACAGGAAGCCCGTGAGTGAAAGTTGAAACCCGCATCATTCCACGTTAGAGTCCCTAAGTACTATGCCTCTCTGGTCCACAAACAATACACGGACAGAGCGTCTTCAAGAATACAGCAATATGACTGTCATGATGTCATATAGAAGAAACCCTCCGTCGCCAACTCACGGCCAGTGCCAACTCAGAACGCGAGAAAAAAAAAGGAGCAACAG